GACAACCCACAAAATGGAAGAAAATATGTGCAAACTACCCATTTGACAAAGGGTTAATAACGAGAATATATTATACAAGGAGCTCAAACAACACTACAGGAAAAAAATCTAATTATCCAATTAAAAATGCGCAAAAGATCTGAATCGACATTTCTCAAAAGAAGACATACAAATGGCATCTGCGAAGGTGCTCACCATCATTAATCATCAGAGAAATGTAAATCAAAACTACAACAAGAAATTACTTCACTCCAGTAAAAATGACCTATCCAAAAGTCAGTCAATAACAAATACTGGTGAGGTTGTGGAGAAAAGGGAACCCTCTTACACTGTTAGTAGCAGTGCAAATTGACACAGCTATTAAGGAGAACAATTTGGAGGTTCCTCAAAAAAAAAACAAAAACAAAAACAAAAAAAACAAAAAACTAGAGCTACCGTATGATCCAACAATTCCACTGTGGAGTATATACCCAAAAGAAAGAAAATCAGTGTACTGAAGAGATATCTGCACTCCCACGTTTACTGCAGCACTATTCACAATAGCCAAGATTTGGAAGCAACCTAAATGTCCATCAAAAGGTGAATGGATAAAGAAAATGTGGTACATATACACAATGGAGTACTATTCAGCCATAAAAAAGAATGAGATACTGTCATTTGCAACAACATGGATAGAATTGAAGATCATTATATTAAGCAAAATAAGCCAGGCACAGACAGACAAACTTTCCATGTTCTTATTTGTGGGAGTGAAAAATGAAAATAATTGAACTCATGGAGACAGAGAGTAGAATGGTGGTTATTAGAGGCTAGGAAGGGTAGTGGGGGAAAAAGGGGAAGAGGGGATGGTTAATGGGTACAAAAAATAGTTAGAAATAATGAATAAGACTGAGTATTTGCTAGGACAACAGGGTGACTATAGTAAAAAAATAATTGTACATTTTAAAATAACTAAAAGAGTATACTTGGATTATTTAATACAAAGGATAAATGCTTGAGGTGATAGATACCCCATTTACCTTGATGTGATTATTATGCATTGCATGCTTGTATCAAAATATTGCATGTGACCCATAAGTATACACACCTACTATGTATCTACAAAAATTGAAAATACAAAAGTGAAAGTAAAAAAATGCAAAATCCTCTCAGAAAAAAATACAAATGATAGCTTTTGAGATCACAAAATGTTCTACATTTCTTTAATGAGAAATCTAAATTAAAGCATTTCCTAAGTATCCTACAATTCTCCTGTAGACATATTACTTACACTTATATTTTAAAGTGTATATATATAGCTATATATATATATATAGCTATAACTATAGATATAGATATAGATATGAGTTAAATGAGTTAAATAAATGACCAGCATCTTATAAACCAGAAGCTTATAAATCTGGGAATCAGCCAAGATTATAAATATTTTATACTATCTGGGTCAAGTGGTCAAGTTTTGAGGTATCGCATTGTTTGGCTATATTGTTAGTTATCAACAGTGGTTATATTATTCCTAATATTAACTTAAATACAGTTTCCAAACTTACTGATTTTGAAATGTTGAATATAGTATTTTAAAGATTAGTTCACAGTTTATCTAAATGTTTCTAGAGAGGTTTAATTTCAAAGTGGGAAAATAAATTACTGTCTTACCACACAATTTGTTCTTCATATTAAAATAAAGACAGCAAAAATCAATATATTGCCTTATAATCCATATTATTTCTGTTCAAAAAGTTATGATCTCAACCTTTAAAGGATATTTCACTTAAACTTTATTTGGTATGATTATGAAGCTGTGTATACGATATATATCATGGTTTATTAATGAATAAAAGAAACATTTTGAATGGAGAAGAAGACTGGTAGTTTAATCTCTGCTTGCTGGGTAGTCTGCCCAGGTGGCAGAACCTCGGTTTTAAAGTGTGTATTCTCATTTCTCCAAATTCTGTTTACATTATGATGACTCATTAGACACTTCATGATTATAAACAACTGTAATGAGTCACAAAGATTCCTCACTCCTGAAAAAGCAAAAATTTCTATTGGTCCATATGCTATCTACCTGTTAAGTAATATTTCATGCTAGTTGATAATGAGACACAGCTGTGGATATTTGCCATTCTCAGGCAAGTTCCTCTTAGCCAGCTTATTTTTTTTTCTTTCTTCCTTCTTTTTGACATTTTTTAAACACAGAGTCTTGCTCTGTTGCCCAGACTGGAGTGCGGTGGTGCCATCTTGCCTCACTACAACTTCCGCCTCCCAGGTTTCAAGCAATTCTCCTGTCTCAGCCTCCTGAGTAGCTGGGATTACAGGTGTGCATCATCATGACCGGCTAGTTTTTATATTTTTAGTAGAGATGGGGTTTTGCCATGTTGGCCAGACTGGTCTTGAACTCCTAGCCTCAAGTGATCCAGAGTGGCCAGCCTCCCAAAATGCTGGGATTACAGGCGTGAGACACCACACCTGGCCTTATCTAACTCTTCTAGATGCCCCCTTTCTGAAATATTAGTCTTCTAATTCAAAGTCTATGAAGATATACAGAGTGCTCTGCATTTATATGCCATTTTGGTACCCTTCAGGTGGCTGTGCTGTGGAAGCAACAATCGTTCCCTTACCTTGCTTACGAAGCCCCAGTGGCAGAGCATATGCAAACTAAGAAGAGATTCTGGTCACAATTAGAAATTATTGGACTATGCCAAGGTTTCTGTTTTTGTTTTTGGCCTCTCCTTGCTCAGCAAATTTTAAGAACTCACCTTAAAGCATATTTTAAGACCCATTATAAGGCCTATACTGTGGAAAAATCTATCAAGACAAAGAGAATAGATCTTTCTCCTCTTCTTGAGGGAAGCCTTTGGTAAATATTATAGTAAGGTATTCTCATGAAAATTAGTGATTATGGGTCAGGTGCGGTGGCTCACACCTGTAATCCCAACACTTCTGGAGGCCAAGGCAGGCAGATCACAAGTTCAGGAGATTGAGACCATCCTGGCCAACATGATGAAACCCCATCTCTACTAAAAATAAAAAAATTAGGTGGGCGTGGTGGCGTGGGCCTGTAGTCCCAGCTACTCAGGAAGCGGAGGCAGGAGAATCGCTTGAACCCAGGAGGCAGAGGTGGAGGCTGCAGTGAGCAGAGATCACACCACTGCACTCCAGCCTGGGTGACAGAGCGAGACTCTGTCTCAAAAAAAGAAAGAAGAAAATTAGCGATTATGTATCCTTTCGGTATGTTCATGTACAGGGGCTCATGTGAGCAATTTAAAGTTTTAAAAGATATTTTATTTATAAATTAGCCAAGTTCTAATAATAACTGGGGATCATATGTTGCAAGACAGGCTGGCAAAGTCCTACTGATGTATCAACACTACTGATGTATCAACACTGCTGACATCATCTAGAAACAGAGAGAGTATAACACCAAAATGCAATTCTAGAAATTTGTGCATGGTCTATACACAAACCAAACTAGTGAGGATATTCATACTACCTGTGACTCTTATAACATGAGATACGAAGCAAACAGAAAACTGGACCTTCTCCCACAGGAAATGTTAGTAAGGCCACTGATTACTCCTCAGTGGCCACCCACACTGGGGGAACATGCAGTCCCACATAATGGAGTATTAGATTATTACAAAGCTCTGATGACTTTTGCCAAAGCATTGTATTCACTGTTGCAAGGAGCCCTACTAGTTGACTCAGAAAGATGGTTTTCTATTTGAAATCCTGGCAACTTGGTCTGTATCAAGGTTTACCAGCAGACAACATTACTCAAACCTCAAATGGAAGAGACCTTATCAAGTCCCACTGGTCTGTCAAGCGCCAAGCTTTTTTCGTCTTGGATCCACAGCTCCTACTGTAAGAAAACATCTTTCCTCTCTTCCTCAATTTAACAGCTTTTTGCTACTAATACATTTTATTTTTAGACATAGGAATCAGTGACATACTTCTCACCTGAGTTTCAGACCAGAGATGTAGATTACAGAAAATTCCTCATAATATCTTAAAACTACTTAGTAGGTAAAACCTTTACTCTGACCTGTCTTGCTAACAACTGAACTCAACCTATGTTTGAGAATTATCCAACAACTTTCCAGATATGCTGTAAGTGAATTCCATCTTACAAAAACTGATAAGAGTTTTAAAAATGTCAAAGAAAGTCTTATTCCAGACTTCACTTACTTTTCCTACACCTGGATTGTAATTAGCTTCCTACAAATACAGATCTACTTTGGCCCTTCATGCATCAAGCTTCAGTCTTGGCCACCTTGAACTGAGTCCAGGGCTTACAAAAACTTCTAATGTAAAACTTACTGTAACTATTTGTTTTGTCTGGTTCTGTCAGAAACCTATATCATTGCCTTTCATTGGAAAATAAAATCTTTCTTAGAACCTGTCATACAATGTGGAGAACAATATGATTGCTAATCCTCTTGCTTTCATCAGCCAAAGAAGAGTCACCACTAAGATCAACAGTGTGTGGTAGCCAGCAAGCACCTCGAAAGAGAACCATTTCCACGCTGTTGTTTCTCAGCCTTCTGGGCTGGTCACTGAGTTGCAGTTCTAAATTGAGGGGGAGTCACCATCAAAAATCAAATAAAAGTGAGTCTGTCCCAGCACTGCCCCCAGTTACTTAAAGAACATCCCCCAGTGTGTTATTTTCTATAAGAGTTCAAAGATACAACAAATCTATTCCAGCACTTAAATATTAGAGGTGTTAAATGTTTATAAATTCTGAATCTGCTCTTATTCCCTCCACCAGCAGATTTAGGAGACACAGAGAACCACACAATGAGAAATCTTGCTGGGGAGATAGGAGGAGTGAAAGTCCTACCAGAACGAAATCAGCTTGATTCTACTGATGCTTGCTACCCCATATCATGAAAGTAGACTTAAGCCAGTCTTATGAATAGCAAATCCAGGCTGTAAGAGTCTACTTGGATAGACAAAAACCTCAATTATAAAAACAAAACAAGAGAAAACAACTCAAAGCTTACCTGAGAGTCTGTAGTTTACACTCTGGGTGTTTCAAGGCTTCACATAATGACTTTACTCCATTATCCCCTATATCACTCCCTTTTAGGTCAAGATGCATCAGATTCTGGTTATGAATCAAAGAAGTAGAGATATCCTGACAACCATCAGGGAAAGTGATACATTTCAACCTTCAGAAGAAAAACATGCAGGAGGTATTACAAAATCATTTCTCTCCTTGGTTACAGGATCTCTTTCTTTTCAATCTAATTCTTGAATATTACATGAATATTCTTTTATCTTATTTTCATCTAAAACAATTGGGTTATAACTTCAATTTCTATTTATGTCCTGATAATTGACACTCCCAAGTTTTTTTTACCTTAAGGCAAAAGAAGGTGATAACATCATGAAAAGCAGAAGAGGAGCCTCTTAAACTTGTAATCCCAGGAATGACTATCAAAAATTATCAGGGCCATTCCAAGTACTAAAATAACATTAATTCACAATAGCCAAATCTTTAAATAATCCAAGGTTAATTCACAATTAGCATCAACTGTTTGATGTGCAGTAATAACAAAACACTGTTGCAAAACATACTATGTCATCTTGGGGACTTTGCTAGTTGTAGGAGGCAGGTGTACAGAGGCAGCCCAAGCAAAATAATGAAGTTAAATCTGCCAATTTTTGTCCTACTTTCTACCTGCTAACTCAGTCAATGTCAGATATTTCTGATTCTTCTATAGTGTCTCTGCTAGTCCCCAATGCCCTTCTGTTCACTCTCCAAAACCTTGCTTTGTAACACCACCTTTCCTCCCTTCTGCCCACCACCCACCCTCACTCCCCTCACCCCAGGCAAGTACACACAGGAAAATAAAGATTTTACCCATTTACAGCACTAACCATCCTCATCTAGTAAAAGTGCCTAAGGCACTCAGTAAATATAAATGGCACCATCTCACTTATTAGGGAAAAGAGACCACAGTAAGACCACATTAAGGTGGCAGACAGAGAACAGTCATCATGGCATCCTCCCACTGATGCAACCCTCCCATTCTAAGAAAGGAAGTCAATTAACCCAGAAGGGATTGGCTATGGTGAAGATCTGAATTGATGACATCCTGTGAAGGGACAATATGGGGTAAACGTTTAGGGATGAGTGGAAAGGACTTCCAGGAACCCCTTAATCATAACATACATCTAGTTGCCTTACTACATCTATATGGAAGACCAGACCTACTCTAGATGCTTGAAATCCAAGGTCAGAACCCACTAAAAACACTGAGATAGGGAGGAAAATATTTGATGAGAAGCCTGTCCCCACCCCCCGCCCAAAATAACATCTATTTTTAGTACTAATGGAAACAAAGATCTATCATTTGTTCAGCATTCAGTTCATACCAAACGACAAATGTACCTTGCACACATTTACAGACACAAAATACAGAGGAGATTAGGATCAGTTTCAGCTCCTAGTGGAGTCCTTACAGAAAAGGGTAAGAGACATGTGAACATTCAACGTTTTAAAGTGATTGAGTATCTAGAATCAAATTAACATAAAATTTTAAAAAGACTGACAGCAGCAAATGTTGGCAAAGATTACCCTTATTCTTAATAGGTTAAAAACTGGAAACCGCCAGGGGTCTTTTAACAAGAGAATGAATAAACAAATTATAGTATTGTTATACAATGGAATACTAATCAGCAGTAAAAAAGAAACTACTGAAAGTTGCAACAACATGGATAAATTTTAGAAGATGTTTTGTTGAGCACAAGAAGATGGATACAGTCAGGTGTGGTGACTCATGCCTGTAATCCCAGCATTTTAGGAGGCCAAGGTGGGCAGATCACTTGAGGTCAGAAGTTCGAGACCAGCTTGGTCAAGATGGTGAAACCCCGTCTCTACTAAAAATACAAAAATTAGCCAGGTGTGGTGGCACGTGCCTGTAGTCCCACCTGCTCGGGAGGCTGAGGCAGGAGAATGGCTTGAACCTGGGAGGCGGAGGTTGCAGTGAGCCGAGATTGCACCACTATACTCCAGCCTGGCAACAGAGCAAGACTGTCACAAAAAAAAAAAAAGAGAAAAGAAAAAGAAAGAAGATAAATTTAAAAAAAAATACATGCTGTGGAATCAATCAAAATGATTCCAAAAAGACACAAATTATTGTCTCTGGGACTGGATGGGGTGAGAAAATTGAACAGAAAGGGATAGGCTGGGCATTGCGGCTCATGCCTGTAATCCCAGCACTTTAGGAGGCTGAGGCAGGAGGATCTCCTCAGCCCAGAAGTTTCAGACCAGCCTGGGCAACACAGTGAGATCCTAGCTCTATGAAATAAAATAAAAAAAAAAAATCGTCTGGCATGGTGGTACATGCCTGTAATCCCAGTTACTTGGGAGGCTGAGGTGGCAGGATTGCTTGAGCCAGGAGTTCCAACTGCGATGGCATTGTTGCATTCCAGTCTGGGCAACAGAGTAAGATCCTGTCTCAAGAAAAAAAAAAGAAAAGGGGTATAAGGGAACTTTCTGAGATAAATGAAAATATTTTCTATCGTTTTGGATGTGTTGATTACAAAGATGTTTACATTTGTCAAAACTCAACAAACTGAACATTATTTGCGCACTTTATTAAACGCAAATTTTTCCTCAACAGAAAAAATTTAAGAAGATAGTAAGTTCCAGAACATGTCCTTGAAAGTGCATTGGTGACCTGCCTAGAATGTTTTAGCTCTGTGCTCTTCACTTAGAAAGTTCCTAATCAAGCCTGAAAAACCCATGTAAACAGCTCCTATGCCCTGTGGAATCACTCTGAGAACAAGTTAGTAATGATCTCATGTCCCCAGAGGATTTTGTTGTTCCTGTTTGAGTATTTTACACAGTGGCTTGTAAGTATTTGCTAGCACTGGCTTCCCCTAACGAGTATGAGTGGAAGGTGGAACACAGAAAGAAATTAGAATTACTCCATTAAATTTTCTCATACCAGACTTACAGTAGCTTTTGTAGTTTACAGTTTGGGTGCCTTAGTTCTTGATGCAGGATATTCATTGCTGATTTATCAAGGTTGCTATGGCACAGGTCCAGTTCTCTCAAATGTTCATTTGTATGAAGCACAGAACAGAGATCTTGCCACCAGTGAGTAATGCGATCACCATCCCTTTGCATAAATAATTAAAAAAAGAAAAACAATGCTGATTTTATTTCAGCCTAGGCAACTCTCAGAAGATAGTATTGGGGTAAAAGTAAGTGTATTTTGGAAAAGCAAGAGCATACAGTGCAGCTCCACCATGGGCAGAGTCCATAAGGAAGTCTTCCTCTGGGCACTCTAGAGGCCTTATTTGTCCAACAGCTCTCCCACTTCCCATCCACTCCCCTCAACACACACAAAATAAAAACCAGAGAGGCTTTACTTCAGATGAAGCAACTCAGGAGGGATAAGAGAGAAGTATTCAAATACTTGAAGAGCTAATATCAAAAAGAAAAATAAAATTTGGTCACAAAGAATATGATTAGGATTAGTGGGTAGACATTAGGTGTAAAGTGGTGTAGATTAAAAATCACAGGCCTGAGACCCAGGTCTACCACTTACTAGCCATATTATTTTAAGAGAGTTGCATCAATTCTTTAAGTTACAAGTTTTCATCATCTATAAAATGGAAATGTTATCTCCTTTCACAGAGTTGCGGAAATTTAATAGTGCATTTTAAAGGGTACACAAAAGCACACTGTAAACTTTACTTTATGATTTAATTATTAGAAATATTGTCAATAAACTCATGAACAAATAAAGGGTGATAAAACAGGGGACAACCTGGTGATTATAAGCTCAACAATGGAGCAGCTCTAAGTCCCAATTCAGCTCGGCCACTCACTAAACTGAGTTATTCTGGAAAATTTACTAACCCATGTGAGCCTCAGCTTCATCATCTTGATAAATGAAGATAACAGTATCTATTTTTTAGGATTACTGTGAAGATTCAATAAGGCAATATATAGAAAATGCTTAGCAAATGTCTCATGCTGTAAGTGTTCCTAGTAATCAGTAACTGTTATATACATATATGTGTATATATTAAGTATAATATATATTAAAATATATAAAAGTCTAGTATGTTGCCCTATATATAATAGCTACTCAATAAATATTCATTCCCATATCTTAAGTTGGAATGAATGACAATTCATAGTGATGTTCTATATCACTTGAGGTCTTAAATTTATAAAAACAAGATAATAAATTATTCATTCAAGCATTCAAGTGTTTCCTCTGTGCGAACACTAGATAAAATGGTGAACCAAACAGAGCTCCTGCTCTCATAAAGCTTACGATGTAGTTATATTATAGAAGAGATTGAGGTCACCTACAGTTTTTCTTTCAAAACATTGGGTTCTCTGGCTCCTTATTTTAGCAACAATGCCAACTCTAGTACTGGATAACTCTACAACATAGGTAAGGAAAGCTAGCAGGAGAACTGGCAATCTAGTGGCCAGAATACTGTTCTAACATTTACTGTTAGGCATAAAAGATGTTTTAATGCTCTGTTAAATCACATATTCTTTAAACAGAACTCTGAAGTCAGAATTAAGAAAATTGACTGAAGATTACTCACAATTTTCCAAGGTAGGTAAAGGTCATAGCATCAGGGCCCACAATTTCTACTCCCACAGTTTGCAAATAAATGAAATGTATGCTCTTATAAGAAAGGAGTGCTTCTGAATTGTATATAATGGTACTGAAACAGCTTGGATAAAGTTAGCAAACCAAGAAATTACAATCAGATGTGTGAACTCAGTCAAGTTATATGCCTTCTTGGTACCACAATTTTGTGTGTCCTAAGTAAAATGGAAATAGCACCTACCTAATAGGACTATCAGAAGACTAAATGAGATCAAGGACTTAGAAGACTGTCAGGTTATGTGACAAGCACTCAGCAACTTAATTATTATTTGATGTGTGTTTGAATCAAGAAATTTTCTAGGTATATGTCTCTGAGTTTCGTAATCTTAAAAATACATAGAGATGGTTACCAACAACATTAAATTGGATATTATATTAAATATCCAATTCACTATACAACTATATAGCACATGGAAAGTCCTCAATTAATTTTATATACATCTGGGAATGAATTCCATAGTTCAATTCTTTCCTCAGATCTAGACAGGTAGTCAGAAAAGGCAACTTGAGAAAGGAGGTAGAGTAGAATATACATAAAATACTTAAGGTTCATTTCTTTTTTCAAAAATGTTTATTTAGCACCTACTCTTTCTTACTAACCTCCAATGTCTTCAGATAGGCATTAAAGGGCTGAGACCTTTCACAAACTACAAAACAAAGGCCAAAATCATTGTCTGGGCAATGGGGAAAGTAAGCTAGGTCAGTAGAGTGCAGAGGAATGTAATACAGAGAAATAACCTGTGTTTACCAGATTCAGAAGGAAATTTCTGGTCCCTTATTATTCTGGATGACATTATCTTTATAAATTAAACATACTTATTATCATGGATGCAAGTTTGTGCCATGCCACATTCCTCCTTGAAGACTGAAGTGCTCATTCCCCCTGAGTTGTTGGGATTGTCAACAATTGAGAGTCCTCAGCCCAGTCCCTCTCCTGGTATTGCCTTCAGGCCAAAAAAGCCATCTCAGGAAAGTTTTTGCCCACTCCTCACCAGTAGCCATGATTGGTCAGTAAGGGGTTTAAATGCTTAGCCTCCCTGCCTCAAGATGGGACAACTCTGAAGGATTATCTCAGCTCTGGGACCTCAGCTAAACAACTCCTCCCTCTGACAAAATCTACTTCTTCTCTGCCTTACAGGGCACTTCCAGGGAATGGCCCCAATACACTTACCAAGTGTTAGTTGGGAGGCTTGTTTTCAATGTCTTCTTCTCAAATACCGTAGTTACAGACAGCCTGATGGTCCGCAAACACCGGCAGTGCTTAAGGCAGAAGGAAGACACAAGCAAATGTATTTTCTCACAAATATTAATGGCAACCTTTGAGAAATATCTCATTGCCTGGCTTATAAATGCTTTATCTTGAGTCTCATACAGATAGTGAAACAACTCCAGAAACCCCAGCTGTGATAGAGAATAGTCACTGTTTCCTAACACTTCCATACACTGAAGTAACTTTGATTTTATCTTCAGTGACATTTTACAGTTAAAAGTCCTCTCCAGTTGTTTTACTCGATCTTCATTCAAAAGGCCAAACAAAAAGCACTTCATCTGTCTCAGTTGGGGGTCTTTATAACTTGTGCTTTGAAGTAATGACTTCAAGTCTTCAAAAGGCTGGCAGGAAGGGTTCCCAGCTTCCCAATTGCCTTTCAACATATAGAACATAGCTGCAAAAAACTCCTGAACATGAAGGTGGGTGAACACATAGCAGTTTTCATACTCTGTGTCCTTTTGAATAATATTGTTGCCCAGAAAACTTGAGACATCAGATTTAGTTAACCCAAACCTTCTGAGATTTTCTCTGTAAAACACGTAAGTCATAGTCCATATTCCTTTGGCAGCGACATGGCACAGCCTTCTGAGCTGGACTTGGTTGGGTAGTCTAGGAGAGCATCCATCTACTGGTGTGAACAAGCTAGAAATATAGGAGGTAAACAGAGCCGTGGTTGTTTGGCAGGTCAATGTGACATCACCACCCTTCTCCATTTGCTGCTTCAGACAAGTACAAGTGGCCCAGCACACTAGGGGGACTTGGCACATGTTAAACAGCATCTCATTGCTTTTTAGTGAACTGAATGCTTTCATGGCCCACCTCTTATCTTCAAAAAACTGGTAAATATACTCCTCTCTTGCACCCTCAGACATTCCTAGTAGCTCTACATAACGGTGATTCTTCAACAACTGCTTTAGTCTCTTAGAAGTTGTGAGTCTTGTTGTCACCAATAAGGATGCCTCAGGGAGCATCACTTTCCTCAACAAACTACTCATGAGGAAGGACACAGGGTGTTCTTGGGTCCAGTCTTCGCACAGTGCAAATTCAGGTTCTTCAAAGGCAAAATTCAGTTCATCAAAACTGTCAATAATAAACAGGAGGCTACTTGGCTGGGATATGATCCCTTCAATGGGGCCTTCTGTGCTGGGCCAGTCCTTTGATATCAATTGAGCAAAGCTTCTCTCTTTCAGCTGGTTAATTTCTCTCCCATTGAGATAAAAGACATACATAAACCTCTGCTGGTAGAGATTGCCCTCTGCCCAATCTAACATTGCCTTTCTCACCAAGGTTGTTTTCCCAACTCCAGCAGCTCCCTGAAGCACCACGGTCTGTGGCTGTTCACCAGTTTTGACATCCACATCAAACAAGTGTTCCAACAGTTTTCTATCTTTCTCCGTAATTCCATAATGGAAATCTTCAGGCTTTCCAGCCAAAGACTTCTTGTCCCAAGTGATGCAAAATTTTTCCTTTATTCTAATTCTGTATTCTGTTCCATCACCTAAGTCAGAATGGCAAAGGTAAAAACAGAACAAAAACAAAAACAAAAAAAACACATAATCAAAACAAATTCTATGAAATGTAATGTCAAGAATACCGAACTCGCAGTTAGGAACAAGAAAGAATGTAGGCTGAAATCAGAGCTGGTTTTGATTTTTTTTAAATAATATAAATCAAATAAAAATACTCCTATAGATTTAAAACCTGTATTAGATACTGTAATATAAACCAGAATTGATGCAGAAAAATTAATTTGTGATGGGAAATAAAACTGGATATACTTTGGAGATATTTTTTTCTTCTTTGTACTTTTCCTTCTACAGAGAAAAAAGATGACAGACGTGGAGAACAGAAGTGTCATCCAGATAAAAAAAAGAGCAGAGGCAACCATTAGCAATAATAGGGAAGACCCCAAGACAGATTTGAATCTACAGATCAAAATAATTTTCTTTGTGCAAGTAAAAAGTTTGTAGAAATAAACATTGAATCATGGCTCAAATAATATTTTGAAAAAAAGAAAAACATCCTAAGTGAAATAGAATGAAAATATAATTAATCTTTACCTGTTTCAGTCTGATCTCTCTTTCAGATCTCTATTAAAAATATAGGATCTCAGGGAAGACCTCTCTGAACCTCATCGCTAGAGTATTTCCCCTTTTTATATATTCTCAAAACAGTATATTTTTCATTCACAGTACATGTCACTAGCTATAATTACTTTATTGTTTAAATAAATGATGCACTTGGCTGGCGGCTTCATCACTGCATGTTCAGTGTCTAACACATCTCCTTGCACATAAGAAGTGTTAAATACATTTGTGCAATAAAAAAACGAGAGAATACAATCATATAATTGAGTACTTTACAACTTTTGAATAAGGTATAATTATAGGTACTAATATCCCCCCAAATAATAACAAGAAAAGATATGAAATTTCTAGGAATTATGTAAAATATGATCCTCTCCTGGAAATAAAATGAACAAACTTTATGTATCTGAAAACCTATACCATATACACCAATACATTAATACTGGTTATTTCTGAATAGTAGGATTAGGGATGGGGAGTGGGACAGAGTGAGAAACTCACTTTATGTACTTTTACAGTATTTGAATCTTTTAAAAAAAAAATAGCTCATTTTGCTTATGTGAAGTTTAAAAACAAAGATAAAACATAAACAAATGATAACTAAGAAATTCCAAAAAGCAAAACTAATGATTGGCCAGGCAGAGAGAAGAAAAACACTCTTTACCCAGAACTAAAACCTACCATGAAACTATAGTAATTCAAACAGCATAATGTTGGTACACTCACAGAGAAAATAATCAGTAAATCATTGCTGTACTTCTTATTTTCTATTTTGTACTTACAGTATTTTCCAAAGTTCCTATAATGAATAATTTACTTTTATCACAATTTCCAAATAATAATTTGAAGGCATTTATTAGCTATCTGTGTGCAATTATCTGCACATAAGAGGGAAATAGCCATTGGGTTTGAAATAATAAAACAAAAATTATTAGCCCATGAATTTTTTTCTCATACCACAAAGATAAACTTCTTTATATTGAATCAGAAATGAAAGTCACAGTGGGAAGTTATATTGAAGGTCATTTAATATAACAAGCAATTTTTATATTTTAGTGCTTGGGATGAAGTTTTCAATTATTTCTTGAATGAAATAATGTGGCTTGTTAGAATGTGGCTGGGTTAAGAATAAAGGTTTCTCACCTGATCTAATTTTCTTTCTACTGTAATTCCACTTATATAAATTGGAATTAAATTATGTAGAATTCAAAACAAAGTAGGGAAATGGTGTTAATAAGCCAGTGGTCTGAAATTCCCAACCTTTTGGGCACCAGGGGCCAGTTTCGTGGAAGACAATTTTTCCATGGATGTAGGGGGCAGGGGTGAATCAGGATGATTCAATTGCATTACATTTATCATTAGATTCTCATAAGGAGCATACAACCTAAATCCCTTGAATGCACAATTCACAATAGGCTTTGTGCTCCTATAAGACTCTAATGCAGCTGCTGATTTGACAGGAGGCGGAGCTCAGGTGGTAAGGCTCGCTTGGCCTACCACTCACCTCCTACTATGTGACCTGGTTCCTGAGGGGCTGCTGATCAGTAGGGGTCTGTGGCCTAGGAGTTGGGGACCCCTGTGTTAACTATGACTGAGAAGACTCAGTTCTAGACATGAGTTTTTATATGAACCAGTTGGTCACCACTCCTAGAATTTAATTACGGTACCATCTTTAAAGAAAGTAGGTGTGATAAATGAAAAGTTTCCTGCCAACTCAGTGACTTTTAGTACATAAAATATAAACATTAATATACCTTTGTGCATCAGCCCTTCTTTTAGCAGGCATTCTAAACACTGTTCTCTTGAGGACCTGAATTAACAAGGCCCTGATTCTGACTTTGGCCAGAGAGTGTTTTGCTAATTCTTTTTGGGTGACATTCAGGGAACAGGTGGGGTATTAGAAGAAGTTAACAAGATTTGAAAAAAAGTCCTCTGGGAGATAAATCCCCATCCTGTATCAAAACTTTGAATGCCTCCCAAATCTGATGAAAGGCCTAACTACTCACCCAGCACTGCCTCCTGGTCTTGTGTCACTCCAACTTTGGCATCATCTGGTCCTATACTCTGGGCTGACCCTGCAACAGGTTCCAATAGGATCATGATATTTAATGAAAACAAAGTGAGCTTTCACGATGCCTAGAACAGAGGCCAGCATTCTCATCAGTGGTCCAATTCTATGACTATCTGGGTTTAAGAAAACTAAAGCTGCCAGAGCCTCAGACTCCATAAGCTTAGTTGAGAGAAGAAACAATGTGATACAGACAACACTGAAGTAGGAGACCTCTTGCCATGGCCCCCACCCTGTAGCTCCAGGGCAAATAGTGTAGTGTAAGCCTCAGTTTCCTGAGAGAGATATATATATATCTAAAGCCTTGTATATGAGTAAGGAATTCTAGATGTCTACATTTCCTACCTGAGAATGACTATAAATACTGGCTTGGATTATGTCCAATAATAATTTTCAGCCCATTCCTCATATTTCAGCAAATACATTAAATCATATTTGATTTCTCAAAATGTTGCCTAACTTATAACTTGTAGTTTAGGTGAAGGCACTTTATGGGACAATTCCTATCACTCAATTCCTTTGATCATTTCAACTGGTATAAGATGGATGAATTGCCCCCGATTAAGGAGCTAGGCTGAGTAACAGTACTCAAAACCCATCTGCCTTTCCTTCCTCAGATAATCCAACAAGCTCCCCATGCACAAGACCACCATGGAGCTTATGTCCCCCAACATGGTTTAATCCCTAAATCCCTCTTACAGAAACATTCCATTGGACTCCAGGAAACACTTCCTTCTTGCCTAGCCCCAGATCTGCCCCTAGCATCACTCACAGTTGATCTCTTCTTTTGCTCTCTGACACAGATCCTTCAGGTTCATCTTGCCAAAGATTTTGAGAGTCACACTCCAGGCTTTCTCTCCTGGATAATACTTCTTTATCAAATTGGCCAGGTCGTCCCGCCTGGCCTTCTTCACTTCATTCCAGGGTATCAGGCCATGCTCAGGTTCCATGGTCTCCTTTAGGAATAACTTGAATGTATTTAATTCCTCTTTGTTTAGCTCCTCCAAATACAATAGCAGCCCAAAATCAGGAAGGAAGGAAGATGATGATGAATCTGCCATCTTGTCCAAATATTCAGGCCTCTGTGGGGGAAAAAAATAACCAAAAGCACATGGAATAAATGGGACACATGAAAAAGATTTGAAAATGAAATACTTACATAGATTAATTTAACAAACATGTGCAGAAACCCACTGTATTAGGCTTGGTACTGACCTAGTGTCCTCTGTAATACATCTTCTTTCACAAACCATTCCTCTAATATAGACCACTATACTGTATATTTATTCCATCTTCTTAGGATTTATTCCCAGTCCTACCACTTATGAGCGATATAAATAAAGGTAATTCCTCTCTTTGAACCTCAATTTACTCTTCTACTAAGTGGAGATAACAGAGCCAATCTCTAATTTTCATGTGGATCAAATAAGGTAGGGTTCATATATCACTTGGCACAGAACTGGCTCCTCCTAAGTATTGCTAACTGCCCATCCTCATCCCTTCTATCCCCCACCAACATCTAATATACATCTCAGTCCATAAAACATTGTTATTGCACCCCTGCCAACACATTATTATTCATCAAACACATGCAATAGAATATGCTACCATCTACCTCTTCTTGTCATGTCATCTCTGGTCATAAACTCATACATAATTAGTAATAGTCTTCCCTAGCACACAAGCTCCTTTAGTATACTTTCCCCAACACCACAGCTGTTCTGGGTGAGTTCAGTGTTAAAGCTCATCCAAAACATCCTCATCTCATGTCTTTGACATCAACTCCCATGACCTTACTGCTCTCCAGCAATTTACTCTGATGCTCTCACCCTAGACTTTATCAATGACTACTCAGACTTTTAAATTGCAAACTCCTATAACCCATTTTCTATTAATATCTTCTGGTTAATTGAGTGGTTTCATGCCCTTACTCAGTGACAGTTCTTCAAACACCATCAAATCCTTTTGAGCCCTGTGTTTTCCCCTCATCAGCTTATTCAGTTTCTTAGTCAACATGGGTGCTCCAGTTAATCACTTAATCCATATTCTCCAAAGCACCATCAAGTTTTCTTAATCTTTTTTGGTGATTTGCCTGAAGAGAGAGAGCTAGTAAGTGGTGCAGCTGGAACTCAACTTAGATCTTTCACTAAAATTCCTGCCCTTTCCAGTCTTTCACAATGTCTCCCCCGATTCTTGCTAATATGATTGGAAAAGAAAGATAGATGGGGGAAATAAAAGTAGATAGAAGGGAGAGTTTTCCTTTTCAACGGAAGGTGAATTATCTCCAAACTTATATAGTAAATCTGGATTTTATCCTACAGTAATTGGTGAGCTATCAGCTGTTTTAAAGTTGTTTGTTTAACTACATGGTACAAACATTCTAGATTACAGATAAATCTGACAAAACAAGTCCTATAGTAATTTTTTAAAAAGCGAAAAGGAAAAGATTTGAGGAAACTTCAAAAAAGAACTCTGAAATTTCTCCAGGACATACAGAATATGGTAGGTGAGGGAAAGCAAGGCACAGAACACATCTTCTACTTCCTATCTAGAAATCTACAGATATCACTGCATGTGGGTTCATTTTTATCTTTGTCTTTCCTGTAACAAATGAGGGGAGCTCTCTTCCCTTTTCTATAGCTTATTTCTCCACCTCTTATCTAAATCTCATAAGCAATTGTTCCCAAAGGGATTTAATCCATTAGAAATCTATCTTCTTGATCTTCAACTTCTCCCTGTCCACTAAGTCCTACTCATTAGCACTTAAATGTGCCCAAATTTAACTTAGTCTTTTACAAACTTTCCCTTTACTCCAAATCCCTTTCATCTTCATAGTCAAACTCCTTCAGTCTTCTATACTCTATCACCTATTATACCTCCTCAATCCACTGCGATAGAACTTTTGCCACCACAATTCCACTGAAATAACTCATACCAATAACTTCCCTGTTACAAAATTCAAGGGGCATTTTGGGATTCAATTTTCCCATCTGTAAGCAGGAGTAGCAAGAGTACCTACCTCTGCAAGGATTGAAAAATCTAATGCATGCACCTAACTTCAACAAGGTGCCATACGTTAATAATACTATTTTAACAAAGCCTTACATCTTGATATTTACTTGCCTCTTTGCTGTCGTAATCCCACACTTTTTTCATTTTCCTCCTCCTTTCTGGGTGTCCCTTTGAGCCGAGATCTATACGAGTCTGAATACTATTAGCTTTCTACTATATGATATCTACAATTATAATAGAGTACAATATACTGTAGTCTCCTTCCCAAAGGTTTTATGCTGTTCTTGAAGAAATTTGTTTTGTTTTGCCTTTTTACCTTTTTAGAAAAAGGAACACATGTTTGGCACTGTTTCTCTTATAGGAAGGCATTCATTCATTCAAAAATGCCCTGAACTAAAATGGGAACCCATGGTCTACAAGGATTTCAATTTGCAAATTGATGTATTTTTGCCTATAACAAAACATATTTGTTCAAAATAATTAGCTCATATTAATGACTACATTTGTGAGGACCTAGTGTGTATAGGTTCTTTATAAAAATTTTCTCTAGACTTTAAAACAGACCTGAAAGTTTGATTTTATCCACATTTACAGATATGGAGTCTCAGAAATTAAGAAATTTGCCCAGGTCATAGAGTTGACAAATGGCCTATCATACTACAAAGCTTACTCTCTTTCTACTACATAGCATTGCCTTTTAATTTCACTTCAGTTTCCTAGGCACTGGAAATTCAGAGTTATACAAAATCTGTGTGGCCATGCTCTGTGATAGCAGACCCTGTGCTGAACATGACTGGAAGAGGAAGACCTCTAAATACAGCATGACTATCATTTGGGCCAGAGTAGTTCTAGGAGAACACAAAGGGACAAGGGATTCTTACCTAGAGAGGGTAGAAATATGGAGGTCTCAGGGAAGTAAGATTTGACCTAGGAAGTCGGGTGTTTCCACCCTTTTCATACAGTCTGGATTGATTTCCTTTCTCGGTCGCTCTAACTAAATCTCCTATAGCAACCTCAGTAATACTGAAATTTTAGGCTGGATACTTCCTTGGGGGACACTATATGTGCATTATATGATGTTGAGCAGTATTCATGCCTTCTACCTATTCGATGCCAATTAGAACCCTGGATCTTCTACAGTTGTGACAAACAAGAAATGTCTCTATATATTGACAAATGACCCCAGGGCAGCAAACTGCCCCCCAGTTGAAAAAAATTCAAGAGTCTAACCACTACTGCTAAGTGTACAACTTCTTTTTTTTTTGGAGATGGAGTCTCGCTTTGTCACCCAGGCTGGAGTGTAGTGGTGGATCTCTGCTCACTACAACCTCTGCCTTCCCTCCTGGGTTCAAGCAATTCTCATGCCTCAGCCTCCCAAATAACTTGGACTTCAGGTGCCTGCCACCATGCCTGGCTAATTTTATTTATTTATTTATTTATTTTTGGGTTTTTAGTAGAGACAGGGTTTCACCATGTTGGCCACACTGGTCTCCAACTCCTGACCTTAAGTGATCTGCCCACCTAGGCCTTCCAAAGTGCTGGGATTACAGTGACAGGCATGAGCCATGGTGCCTGGCCTAAATGTACAAATGAGTTAATTCTATCATAATAATTAAATCAAAGAAAAAGAGTAGACAGCCAAGAAAATACATTCTCATTGGATTTCAATATATCATAGAAGAGATACCATAATTGGGAGGAAAGAATTCAGTGTCATTCATTAGGACAACTTGTAAACCATTTTGACAATTAATTAGTATCCTTTTAAATCATCCCAGGTATAATTGTATCTGGAAAGTATCATTAATACTTCAAACCAGGGAGGAGAAAACAGCAAAGAACATTCATCACAACTTAGGAAAGATGGGACTTACCAGTTTGGACACAATAAGGGAACTGACCAAGAACCACAATGAATATTTGAAGACATATTGTTAACGATGCTGAAATTAAAACCTCTTGTCCTTAAAATTCAAACATAAATGGCCAACCAAAAACAGCAAAATGTTTACAGGGAATATGGCAAATAAGCAGTTGAAGTGTAAATTAATAAAACCACTTTAAAACTGTTTGTATTAAGTACTAAAATTGGAGATGTCCACCCAGGTCCAAATTTTGGTTTCTAACCTGTACCATTTGCCAATAAAAGGAATCAGGGATCCTCTGAGAAACTGCTGATTCTAGGGCTAGGATAGGGAATAGATAACGATGAGCTTATAGCATCTCATAGTGCCAGAAATAAGGAAAGGAAAATAATGGGGTATGCAAAGAGACTGAAGATACAACTGGAAAGAGTTCCCAATGGCCAAAATAAACAACAGTATTGGATTATAGCCCAAAGTACAAAGCAAGTATCCATGAGTCCATATAGATATAGATAAATATCCCAATATATGAGAGAAAAGAGACAAATCTCTCTTAGAGAAGATTTCCAAATACTTTATGTAGGATATTCTCCCCTCCAGGAAATGGCTCTTAACCCAACTGCACCCCACCTTCCAGAGCACTGAGTGTGCTTATTGATTTCCTCCCAAAGAGAGGAGTATGGGAGTAGGTGGGGAGAGTGGAGAAACTTTTTAGTGAGAAGCCTGACAAACACTCTCCCAAGATCAAGACTACTATTATCAGCCATAAGTCACTGTGATAGCATGTACTATTGACACTGTGAATGGCATGTTACCACTGTGATATTCCTTCCCCAAACCCAGCATCCTAGTCTAGCCATAAGAAAAAAATTAAAGTGAGGGACAAGCTACAAATTACCAGACTAGTACTTCTCAGAACTGTCAAGGTCATCAGAAAACAAGGAAAGACTGAGAAACTTTCACAGACCAGAGGAATCTACAGAGACAAAATGACTAAATGTAATATTCAGGAATAGAAAAAGAACAATATGGAAAAATTAGTGAAATTCAAATTAAGTGCAACTTAATTGCCTTATTGTCTTCATTGTGCCAAATATACCATTGTAATGCACGATATTAAAAATTGGGGAAATTGGGTGACAGGTATACAAGAAATTTCTGTAATTCTAATAAATACTATTCTAAATGGTTATTCCTTAAAACTG